ATGCATACGAACAAGATCATCACGACTTATTGGGTAATACATGGAGACTAAGGCCTCGATTCGTGAAATGGATCTACAGAGCCATAATCCTCCTACAGCTCACGTTATGAATAAGGCCTGTCACAGAAGAACGGTAGATAGGACGGATAGACTTACGTTGCTGCGAATCACGAGACCCCCAGGACGAACCCCACTTCAGCACTCTGCTCTGCTCTTCCTTCAACCGCTCCACCTAAATATTAAGAAGGTGGCCCTAATCTCAACCGCGAGATTATGGTTACAAGGCCTACGGAAGGGGACCAGCAGGGGTTATGCGGCAATCCTTGCTGCAGACGGCGATCTTATGGGACTGCTGTTCCGGGAAAAAGATGCCGGCGGGCCGCGCTGGCACTTCCAATTGAATTTGAAGGTCAACCTTGGAGATGGGACAAACCAGCCGGAGAAGGATAAAAAATGAACGCCACCGAAGGGGCTGGTCTGGTCCATCGATGGCCCCAGAATTGGCAACCGAGCGAGAGCACGGATCTGGTCTGAAGGAGCTTCAATCACAAGGACCCTTGAACTGGACTTGGATTGGAGCACACGACCGTACTCCAATCAGAGCTTGCAGCCTTGAGGGCCTGCGCCAGGGAAATCAAAGGGACAGGGGGGCAGGGGCAAAAAGATATACATCTACTCAGACAGCAGGCGTGCATTGAGAGCACTGCTCAGGTTTGAAACTTGCTCTCGATTAGTCAACGAATGCACTCAGCTGATGGAAAGGGTTGCTGCCTATAATCAGGTGAAAGTGGTCTGTATACCAGGCCACGCTGGAATCCTCAGCAATGTGAAAGCCGACGACCTGGGCAAAAGAGGATGTCTAAAGGTTGCGCTAACAGAGGAGAACCTGGTAGGTGTGCAGATAGACGTCATCAACGATATTATCCAGAAACGAGCGGAGAGGCGGATTGTGGCAAGGTGGCAGTCTACGGAAGGCGCAAAGCACTCAAGAACCCTTCTACGTGAACCTAAAAAAATTGGCTAAGACACTGGATAAAACTCCGCTCTCTAGTGGGGCTTATCACTGGTCACTGGCCCCTAGCCTCATATTTGGCAAAAATCGTCACCGGAAACGAACCTGTTTGCCCGAAATGCGGACTAACAGAGGACAATCTGCACCATCGAAGTACTAGATGCAGTGGTCTTGATGAGATCCGGTTGGATGTCTTCAGGACCACTCGTATTAAGGTAATGTCTATTGATAAGGACGGTATAGAAGGGCTGTACGAGTTTGCTCGCAGGGCCAACATAGTGACACCTATGGACTAGACGGCTACCATGTGCAGAGTGCAAAATGGCCAAAAGGCTCATTGCACTTCCTGAACTCATCAAAGAACACCAAAACCACTAAAAGCCTAAAGCCTAATTAAAACAGATCTGGCAAGTTTACTAAAAAATAATTTTTAAAATACGTACCAACTTGGCAGCTTTTTCTCTATTTTTTTAGTATTTTATACAAAATACTGAAAAAATGCATTTTACTCTAAAAAAATGAAGTTTAAACAAAATCGATAGTCTATCTGGGTGTTAATCAATGTGATTTATTGATTCAATAATTGCAGGAGCAGTGGAACATGACAATGTTGAATTCGTTCCTCGCCGCTGAAATTTAAGAGGTTTTTTGGACATTTTATTGGTAACGTCAGCTTTCAAAATAAATAAAGCTGTGATGGGAATGAAGAAGGAAAATTTTCTATTTTCGAGTTATCTCCCCTTTTTCTTTTTTTGCAGCGTAACTTCTTCTCTTTTCTTTTTTTTAAGGGTTATCCCCACTTCGGTTGATTTCAGAGTCAGAGTAATGGACCATCATCTCATACAATTGGCTCTCGTCTATCCCTCGTTACGCACTAGTAGAGAATGGAGGCACGACATGCTCTGAGAGGAAAGGTTGTCAGCCCTACCCTAAGCCTAGTTGAGGGCTTGTTGAACTCAGATTGATAGAATCCTATCAATGAGCTGACCACCACAAACCTGACCAATAACCACTTTTTCACTATTTTTTATTAGTCGATCACGTAATTATTTTGATCAGTCTTCATGGGGTTGGCGTAGCTACCGAGGATATCAAGAAATGTGGAAACCTGATCTTGTTTCGGAATGGTGAAGGTGGATACAAGCTTACTCAGCTTGTCTCCCATCCCTTCAACTCTCACTCTATTCTTCGGGTATAGACTCCGGATTTTCCTCCTGTTGTCCTGTCGATGTTCTAAACGTATGCTGTTTACAGTGATAGCGTCGTTGGCGATATATGTACATAGGAGCGTGAGTAACTTCGCGAGCGGACATCTTGTCCTTGACAATACCGAGCTGTCGAAAATGCTGACCTTTGTATTGCATTTCCTATAGACTTGCCTTTTTTTTCTGTCAGTCATATTTTTTTTTTTCAACAACAACACAATGTACATTAATCCTTCGCACTTCAAGTAAAAAGCGCCAGTTGTTAAGACACCGTGTTTTCTGGAGAAATTAGCTCTAAGCTCATCGTCGCCGAAGATACGATATAATTCATCCACATTAATTTTATTGGTTAATCCGGTCTGTCAATTATCGCATGCCTCCCACACTTAATTAATAAAATTAAACAGCTAGGAATCTATTTTATTAACAATATTAGCGATTTGGATAAGAGTAGTTATAAAATCACATTACCCTTCAATTTATGTAGCTTATACTTAGAATGAGTTTAATTTCCACTGGAGAAGAAGATGTATGTGTAGATTGATTCTCGAGTGGACTAAGTACTTTTAAAAGACGATACTTCAATGAATATTCTTTCAATCCGTATATATTTTACTTATACGTACAATAATTTCTCGAAATGCAGAGTCATTCCTCAGACGTTCCTCAAAAGCCGCAAATTGCTGTAGAGTATTATTCAGGTATTGTTTCAAGAACAATATCTTGCAGTTGGTCTTGCCAGTTGGACTCGTCATTTCCGTGATCAATTATTGCACGATATTTTTTAAGTCCACTACTTCTGATCGTAACCGGTTGATCGCGAGGGCCATATAGCGATTTGCTTTGTCAAGCTTTAGTAATTCTGTATAATCACTTGTATTCCTCGTTTTACCCCCAACTCTCTACATTTATAAAAATCAATGGAAAATTAGCCATGCAATACATTTTTTTTTAATCAACAACAATGTTGGCAAGGAATCGACCTGTTAATTGAAAAACTCATATACGTGACGATGACTCAGATGGGCTACATTTTATTACGACGCTGATTATTTCTTCATCTCTTGAAGAAATTCGCATCTGCTTGGCTGGAAAATGAATGATTTCAATTTTTATTCTGTGGCTCATCCATGAGAAATGCCTGCGACATAATCTATAAGTTTCGCACTCAATTGGTCTTCCACTAATTTTTATGTGATCATCAGAATCGGAGAAATTCACTCTGTTCCCTGGGATATCTGAAACATCACTTATTATTTCAGTCCTAATGACTGGCAAGTATACTAAATATATTTATTAAAAAATCTTATGTCTATACAAAATTATCGATCGGTCGATTGGGTTGCAAGGGATAATAAAACAGGTGCTCCAAAATCTTATAAATAGGTGATTTTTCCTACTGGAAAAGTTGGTGAGATATGATGGAGACTTCCATTTCATCTCACGTCTCTACTGGTGCATTATGAATCAAGGCCGTGGTAAATAACCTATTGATTTGTTCTTGATCCCTATTGACTGCTAGTTTCAATTGGCTTTTTCTGATGGATTTTTTTCACAATGCGAGCTTTTTCGGCGGTATGTTTTTCATCTTTCGTCGAAAAAGCATATTCTGAGATCAATTTTAGAGTTTTCTTCGCAGCACTGTATGTTACTAGTAATTAAACAACAAAATTTATCATTAAAAATTCAGGATATTTACAACACTTCAATGTAGGCATATTCATTGAGAAAAAGGTGGGAAAAAAGTTCACCAGCAAGTCAAGTAATTGTGGTGCTAGCACGATTCCTGTACTTTCCTTCATTAGGCAACTGAAATTTATTGAATATGAGGAAATCTTATACACGCATTGTCAAATTTACCCACAATATCAAATATGATCCAAATAAATGGTAATATTGGATTATTACTCAATTTTACGTAAGATTTTATTCACCAGACTAGTTGAAAAGTTGTCAAATACTTTCATACCCTAGGTGGTATGAAAGTTGTAATGAACTTGGATTGCGAATGAATGATAACACGGATATTTTTTGGGAAAAAGCCTGTCGGCATAAAAAACCCAATTTATTTTCAGTTACAGTTCGATTATCCGACTGCGAATGATATTTTTCTCCCAC